TCCTTTTGTTCAGTAATTACACTTCAAGGTTATGTAGATACCACATTACTATAATTTTGCCTGAGAGACAGACTGCACACCCACATTTTTAAAAACAGGCGACTGCCAACAGAAATCCAGGTGCTCGCTGAGTAAGAGCCCTGCAGACTTCATAAGCAAATCTACTAACCTTGTGCTCCAGTGTAATTTATTTCTGTACATACTGTAGCTAGTAAGGAAGTACTGAGATCATTTTTGCTTGTTATAGATTCACCGGATTTGCAGGAGGATGAGAATTTAAAAATAGAAGCCAAACGTGGCTGACGTTTCTCTCCGATGCTTATGTTCCAGCAGCAATCTGTTCACCCATGATGACAGCAAGCGTTCCATCAGATGATTTAGATTTTCATAAACCCAGTCAGAATCCCACTACTTCTCAAATGGGGGGGACCCGAGACACACAGATACATCCCATTCTGATCCATTTGGTTTCTCCAAGCTTTGTCTTTATAGACAGCTATTTGGGGATGGCTCTCATGAGGGGTGATGACAAGGAGGTAACACTGATTAGTGCTCAATTACATGCCGGGCACGGCGTTGAGTCACTGACATAAGTTAGATCACAAAGTATCTTCAGGACATCACCTAAGTAAATCTCCTTTCCATAGATTGGGAACGCAGAGCGTAGGAAGGTAAATGAAATTCCAGAGGCAATGGCATGCATATCCAGGTTTTTGGGAAGCCTGAAGTTTCTATTAGTTTTAGAGGAAAAAAAAAGTCAAATTGTGAGTACTGAATTTGGCTGAATGCCCTAGAAGGGGTCGGCATAAATAAGGAATCCTGAGGTAGGAGCTTCCACAGTAACCACCTTATGTCTGCCTGATGGACCCCTCGGAGCTGCAGAGACAAAGGAATCTGATGAGCAGAAACATGAATTGTAAAGTGAAAATCATTCATCTTTAGAAAATCTTGGCTATAATGAAGTCGCACTTGGCTTTAAAAAAATTTTTTTAAATAGATTTGGTTTTTGGTTTAGTATGTCAGCAGGAAAGACGGGGCGGGGGGTGGGGGGGTGTAGTGGGAGGAATGCATGCCGGGTGAATGAGCAGCAGTCTCTGATGAAGTGCCAAGCAGTAATTTACATGGTCTGAGTATGCAGAATGTAGAAACATTCTGAGTTCTTCATTGTATGTTCCTTAGGAAATCTTTGCCCTTTTGGTGCAGTGGAAAGTTAGAAAGTTTAGAAACAATTTATTTGTGATGCCTTCTGAGTAAAACTTGTGTGAAAGCAGCCATCGCTTTTCTCAACACTATGCCAATTTTTCTTGAGCGATTTTTCCACTGTTAGCAAAATATGTGATGCTGACTGAACACATTCTCTCTCTCGGAATCAATTGTTTGTTATACCAAGAAAACTCTTTCTTATCCAAAATGAAAAACTTATTTTGCCAGAATGAGGGAAGTTCTTTCTTTTTTTCCCAAAGCACCTCTAACAATTTTAGAATTCAGAATAAGGCAACTCTTATTACCACCATATCAGAGCATGGCTCTCAGAAGAAGTTCAAGTCATATTTATCTTTTCTCAAAGTTTTATGAAATTATTCCTTTTCACATGAGGAATTTCATGAAAATTTCTGATGAAGAATATGGGAGGGGCGTTCTGAATTGTGATTTCCTAAAAATGCTGAGTTTTCTTATATGCTGGAATACACATGAATAGAGCGGCATACTGCTGCCCAGGCTGTGCACTACACAACTCCAAGGGACACGATTTACACAGAGTGAGGAGTGTTGCCTGGAGCAGGACAGTGCAGGGGCCCTGAGGGAAAGAATGGTTGCTACCTCTGCCATAAAAGAAGGAGCTGCTTGGAAAAATGAAGGGGGAGCATGTCACAGAGATACATGGGCCAGCTGGACCCAAATGGCTAAGTCTGGGACAATCTGAACATCCAAATAAATAAGGACAGGAATAGAATGACATAAGGATCCATAATTCCATAATAGGTAAGTAAATAAATAAATGGGAGAGAAGGAAAAGCTCTCCTTGCCGTACAAAGACAAAGGAAGAAATTAACAGCGGAGTCTGGTTAGAAATGGGCCATTCTGCGGTAAACATCGAATCAGACAGAAATCAATAGCTGCAACAAGGATGGGGGTGGGGAGGTTTAGAGAAGGACCACTCCTCCTTTCAAAGGTCCTAGCCATCACAAAGTAATCCTCAGGAATGGGATTAGTGCCCTTATCAGAAGAGGCAGGAGAGAGAAGGTGGAATTCTCGCTCTACCAAGTGGGCACGGAGCGAGAAGGCCACCACCTGCAAACCAGGCAGCCAGCCTCACCAGACCCTGGATCCTTCCTGCCTCCAGAACTGTGCGAGATGAACTGTTTATAATCTCCCCCATCTACGGTATTTGTTATAGCAGCCTGAACTAAGACAGTCCTATTTCAAGGTTTTTTTCCCTTTAAGATATTTTCTTTCCTTTCATGTGAGGTGGTATGATCTTAGAGTCCATGTTTCCTTTTAGTCTTGGCACCTCAAATTTTCATTTAAAAAAAGTATCACTTTCTTTTCTTTTTAATTTTTTATTTTAATTCCAGTAGAGTTAACATACGGCGTTATATTAGTTTCAGGTGTACAATCTAGTGATTCAACACTCCCATACATCACCCAGTGCTCATCATGACAAGTGCACTCCTTAATTCTCATCACTTGTTTAATCCATCCCCCCCCCCCACATCCCCTCTGGGGCCCGGTTTCCCTGTTAAGTGTACCATCACCTTCCTTATAGATAAAGAGTAAGCTGTTGAACATACCGTATCTTTCTTCCTAGTGGAAGCTGAATGGCTGTTAATAAAAAAATGTTCAAGACAATAAAACACAAATTCTTGGGGAAATCTTTTCTTCTGACACTGTGAATATGCACCCCAGAACAGTGGGTCCCAGCCCTGGCTGCATAATTTAACTATGTAATTTAAAATCCTGACGCCCAGCTCACACTCAAGACTAGGTACAGCAGAACCTCTGGAGATGGAATCTGGGCACTGGTCATTTTTAAAGCTCTCTAGGACATTCCAATGTGTAGCCAAGTTTGAGTTCCCTAGATCAAGAATCTACAGCAATAAAGAATTCTATCTTTTGTGTATAGATCCAAAGGATTCACAAAGGTTTTTGAGAATTGGTCTCACTGTCTTAGCTGTAGAGAACAAGCAGTTGGGTCACCAGAGGGGAGGTGGGAGGGCAACAATGGGTGAAGTAGGTGAAGGATGAAGAGTACATTTATCATGATGAGCACTGAGTCATACATGGAATTGTTGAGTCACTATATTGCACACCTGAAACTCACATAACACTGTCTATTAACCATGCTAGAATTAAAATTTTTTTTAAAGTTAAAATAAAAAAGAATTGGGCTCACTTGTTGAGGAATGTACAGTCCCAACTAACAAGTGAAGTTATGTGTCTATCTATCCAGGAAAAGGTAACTGAATGAAGACTGGGGCCTGTGCCAAATGAATGTGAGACACCATAAATACACGTGGAGACTCCACGGGCATAGCAGGGATGCCCGCACCCTCCTAATACAAGGACAGGCCCTGATAAGAGCAAGGCCGAGGAAGGCCACTCCGGCCTGGGAATGGCGTAAATGGAAAAGGAGCCAGTGTGTCCAGCCAACAGTGAGGCAACCCATCTAGCTAGATGGAAGGTTCGCTCTCCAGAGTAGAAAAGGTACGTGTAGAGAAGCCGACTAGAACCAGCCCCAGGGGTTTTGAGAAATAAGCCTACGGGTCTGGTGGCAGTTTGGAGTCTCTAAGGAGATTTAAGCTAAGGACCAAAGACCGCACTGATAAGCTATTCCTAGTGGGGTCAGGGGAAAGACCAAAAACTCAATCTACTACGAGAAGAACACGGTACATCCGGTAAAATTGCATATATGATGAAGCACAATCTTATACCTTCCTTTACAGTTTTCCACAAAAGACAGGCACCGGGAGTTTGGGCCTCCTAAAAATAGCAAAGATCTCACCTGTCATGGGACCCCCTGACAGGAGAGACTGGGCAGGCCGGAAGGTTTGTCTTGTTCTCTGGTCCCTTTGGCCTGATTCCCAATCCAACAGTTGTCAGTTTTAATACTTTCTGCAGCTATATGTTCCTCCTTTTTCCATGAACGCGACTCCTATGGTCAGCAAATATAATTCTAGGGGACAAAGTTCCAGGCTAGAGACATTCTTTCTTATAATTTTTTTTTAATAAGAATAATTATAGAGAAAAAAAAATCAAGATCCTTTACATAATGATCTATAAGCCACAGATACAAATATAGGATAACATGTTTGGTTTTTTTATACTGCGTTTATAAGCCAGCACTGCTGAAACTGTGTTCAAGCCAGTAGATGCTATCCTGAACTCCTAGACAGCGCTGACACATAGGACGTACTCAGTAAAAGTTGGCTCCATGGCACCGTTGAACTGAATGGTGTTCAAAGTGAGGCGAAATGGCCACTGCCACCCTGATTTAGTAACAACGAAAGCAGTGAGATATATCTCAGTTACCTGTATTCCAAGTGCCTTGTTGCAAAGAGGGCCATGGCCAGGTATCTGAGCTTCCAATCTGTTATTTTTAAAGCCAGACCACAATGCTCACAGGCAAAATGGCATCTTGTAAAGCCATTCCCAAAAGCAACATCCATGTGGTGCCCAGGGTTATTCAGACACTGCAGCTCAGATACTGATTGCCATCCCAAGACGACAGAGACACTCTTTGCGTTTGTAAAGTGTTCATTTTATAAATATCTGATAAGAATCCACACGTAACTACATGCATTAATTAGAAATTACCTATGACGAAATGACACTGAGCTTTCACTGACAGATAAAATAACCAAAAAACGTGTTTGATTCTTCTTTTTCTAAGTCATCATACTCTGGTTTACAGACAAGTCTTATTTTCTCATTCAGAAGGAAAAATTTTGCATATTCAAGTCCCTTCCTCTCCCTTTCCTGCCCCTTGAGGGGAGTTGTACCTGCATAATGTACTGGAATCTCTATCTTTGGCCCAATGACGTAGTGTCCCTCCTCCAGGCTGTGGGCAGTGATGGTGGTCCACTGACGGCACGAGTGAATCAGAAGGTATTCGTTTTCCCGCAGCCCTTCTATGCATTCTCCTAGAAAAGATAATTTAGTGTAAGAAACCTAGAATTAGCATCTGTTTGCTCCAGATAAAATTTCAATAGTTAAGACTTCACTAACGCAGAAATTGATAGGTCATCCCAAGATGACACAAGCTTGCTTCCGAATTAGCACTAAAAAGGCATTCTACAACAAGTTGACAACTGCACACAGGATTCCCTAAAAATGTTTCCCACTTACCTGTGAAGACATGTTCAAAACCTCATTTTATCTAAGTGATTGTACTCAAGGATAATAAAACATTTATTAAGTGCCAACAGTATGTTAGTACTACCTAGATGCTCTGCATGTACTATTTCATATGATACAATAGTATTACGAGGTAGGTATTGTTCCTTCGTTACAGGTGGGAAGAATCAAGGTTCAGAATGTTAAGTGATATGTCTGAGCTCACAGATTTAATAAGCAGGAAAGTGAGGATTCAGGCCCAAGTCAGACTGATTCCAAGGCTTACGCTCTTAATCACTAAAATACAACTACCAAAAATATATGATAAACCTCTCTGTTGAAACAGTACTTGAAATTAAATGCCAGGATCTCCTTTTAAATTTTGTATGTTTTGCCAGTTCTTTCTGGCCCCCTACCGAATTTCCCAATCAATTAAAAATAATGAAGCTTTATAGCATGCAAATGAAATTATTTTTTTCATTTTGATATTTTCTGAGGTCCATTTTTAACATGTGAACCAATGACAAGTAAATTATTTCAAAAAAGAAATCCATCCCCTGAAACTTAAAAAGACCTTTTTTTAGATGCTGAAACGACCCATCTCATTAATCGTGGTTTAGTCATTTTCAATGCTCAGATAATATCTGAAAAGGTTAATTTCTTTATACAGAAAACAACCCTTCTTATTTCTGATGTTGATTATACTGCAATAACCAAAAGAGTCAGTGATTTAACTGGGTGTTTTACTCATAGTTCACTTAAAAAAGTTTCAGTACTTTTACAAGACAAAAGAAGTCGAGGAGGCTGTAATGATCAATCTGGTTATCACAATCATAAGCCATCAAATCTGTTTCCAATCCAGTAAGGCCACAATCTTGAAAACAGTCTTAATGCAGGAATACTTCATCTTGGTCGCAGGAGACACAGATGAGGAGTGGGGATGAGGGGGATGGGAGAAAAAGCAGCAGATCTGGAAGCAGAGGTATCCTAGCAGGAATGAGAGGTCCAACTCCCCAGGGGTAACTTCCAAAACCAGACTCCCCTGCCCTCACGCTTTGGGAGAACAGGTTCATAAAGTCCTCCCGAGGAGGCTGCTCGTACTTATGAGTGCTCTGCACCCCCTCAAGCATGTTGGAGCGGAAAGAAAGATCTGGAAGGGCTGTTCCAAAGGAGAAATCCTCTGGCCTCCCCTGAGGCTCCCCACCAGGAGGTAGGAGGGTGGGAAGGGCACAGAGACAAGCAAGCAGGGGTTAAAAGCACGGGCCATGAAGTCCAAGAGATTTGGTCTAGTCAAAGCTCTGCCCCCCATCACTGTGCGATCTTGGGCAGAAACCTTCCTTTCAGCCCGTGAGATGGGGCAACAACAGTACCCGCTTCCCAGAGCGGCCGTGAAGATACACAGTGACAATGATGGGAAACGCGGATGTTTCTGTCATATGATGTTAGGAGGGATCAGGAAACGTCAGCGATTAATTTTATTTACTGCATGCTTTACGTCCCTAGAATTCCATCCTTCTATAAACATTGTAATTTAGGTTATATTATCCTCTTACAGGTGAGGAAATGACTTCAGGGCAGTTAGGAAACGTGCCTAAAGCTGCATAGGAGAAACTGACTTTGGGGTCCCTGTACGTCTCCCCCTGTTCTTCAACACCACACCGAGTTTTGCCTTGAAAACTGCCAACCATAATCCAAAAAACAGAGAGAAACTGACCTTCAACTCCAAGTCTCACCCAAGGAAGGAGGGAGAAAGTTATCAGCAACAAAAATGAGGAATTAAAATATGAATTCACTAAAAGTGAAAGGTGCTATGGGAAAAAAGAAAAAGTAAAGGGTAAGAAGATCAGGAGGACCGTACATGAGAAAGAAGAGTAATTTGCAAGGTTGTCATTTTAAGGTCTATTTCATTCATTTATCCAACAAACATTTATCTCATTTGTTTAGCTTTTTCTAAAAACAGCTTTATTGAGGAACACGTGATCTACGAAGAGCTGCACGTATTTAATGTGTCCATGCTGAAGACTGGCAAACATTTATGGAGGATCTTTCATGCACCAAGCAATGGAGGAGTGGGCGAAAATGAAAAGAGAGCTTGGCCCGTGCATTCAAGAAGCTGACATCCTCTTGGTGAGATGTATTCGCATGTAATTTTATGTAAGGTAGGAGGACATCACTAGTGCTAGGCAAGAGGAATAAAGAATCTGGAGTGGAGATGGAGACTTTGGCAGAGAAGATCAAGAAAATGTCAAGAGGAATATATAGCTTTTGGGCTGGTCCTAATTCTCTGGCAATGGAGGCCAGCGAAAGGTTTGGGATGAGAGACTGGCCGAAGCTCTGCTTTAGGAAAATTCACCTGTCAATACTCTAAAAGCTGGATTAGAGGGGAAGAAACCAGAGCCATGGGGTGTATGTGAGGAAACTCAGAGAGAAAACACACCACCATTCAGGGAAAAAGAAAAATGTCGTTTTCTGCAACTAACCTGCTATATCATAAAACTGTTTTAATTTTATTCCACAGTGGGTTCTAAAGAGGCAGCCAAGAAACAACTGCAGTCAAGTTAATCAAAATGAAAATTTAATGTTAAGTCCCACTGCTAGCTGATGTAGTAAATACTCTTGTCAAGAGGATTCGGAAGGATTTTTAAAGCTCTAAAGGAGTAAGAAACCAGTGCCTGTTTTTGAGCTTATGTCTTTTTTATTTTTTTTAAACAACTGAACCATGTGCCTGCTTTAGGCAAAAGAAGTTTCACAAAAATTGTCTAGAAATAAAACTTAATCACTTATATGATTGGCAACCTAGGGTAGGCCACTAATAGAGACACTACATTAAATGAATCCCTAAAGTAAACATTTTTGTGATATAATTATCCTGTTGCTTAACTACTATATATAACATGCTAAAACTTATATATTTAGCTCAAAGATGTAGTAACAAGAAGTCTAAAAGAAATGTGTGTTAAATTCCAAAATATGTTAATATCATCCTGAAATTTCCCCAGATCCAGCATGCTTCTGGGATATACTTTCCTTGCCTGGTTTGACCTTGATCCCCTCAATATTAAGTCTTACACACTTGTTAAAATCATTTTTAACGCTAGGAAAATCAGAACCACGAATCCTTCAAAGTAAGTCTGCTTAAAAAAGAATCAAATTCAAAATTTAAAATAAAAATTTTTAAGCCGGACACACACAAATCCTGCTGGTTTGGCTGCCGGGCTACTGTCATCTCCTGATGCACCTTTCTGATCTCTCCTTGTTACCTTCACGGTTTCCCCCCTTTTCCACATTAGCTCTAACTGTAGGAGTTAATCAAGGTTCCGCCCTTAACCTGCTCACCGTTTCTCTCTCCTTTAGCATCTTACACACCCCTTAGGGATTCACTTCGTTATGGACAACTGGCATATCCATTCTCTCAGCTACCAACTTGTATTCTGAGCTCCTCAACCAGACTTTATCTTTGACCCTTTTCTACCTGGATGTCCCACCATTCACTCAGGCATCCTACATTCATCCAACAAACACATAAGGAGGACCCGCTATGTTCTAGAACCTGGCGATACGGTACTGAACCAAGTCCCTGCTTTCATGGAGCTGACTTCTTGGCTGGGTTTTCAATTCCCCCATTCTTCACTGTCACCTTACTTAAATATTGCTGCGGATAAAACTTCCAAGAATACAACATGGCTCATCTTACTCTTTTACTCACATCTGCCTTCAGTGGTTCTCATTCATATAGAATGAGGCCTTAAGTCTTTGGCTCAATACTCAAGGCCCTCACGATCTATCCACAGAATATAAGAACCTATATCCCCCACACCATACGCTAGAGCCCGAAGGACCTGTTTCCTGTGCCACACACACGGCGCAGCGTCACTCCTCTGGGCCTACTCACTTTCTTTCCTTTGCCTGAGCCTTATCTCCCAATCCGTATTTACTCACTACTCATTATACTCATGCTTGAAAGACCAGCTCAAATGCCACCTTCATGAACATCTTCCTAATATTTTTCATTTGAACTATATCAATTTTGTAGTTTTGCTAATATTGTATGCTGAATTTATAAATTTCTTTAAGAGCTCAGAGCAGGAGCTTAGACTGATATTTTAATGTTTATGTATATTTATTTATTTATTTAAGATTTTTATTTATTTGACAGAGAGAGACACAGCAAGAGAGGGAACACAAGCAGGGGGGATGGGAGAGGGAGAAGCAGGCTTCCCGCAGAGCAGGGAGCCCGATGTGGGGCTTGATCCCAGGACCTCGGGATCATGACCTGAGCCAAAGGCAGATGCTTAACGACTGAGCCACCCAGGCGCCCATGTTTATGTGTATTTAAGTGACAATAAAACTACTTTAATAATGTGGGAAGTACAGGCATTTTTTTTTCCTTTTGAAATTGGTCTATACAGTCGTCAATTTTGAGAATCACGGTAATAAGGGTTAAGGAACAAAGATACTTCAGGACCAAAAATGCTGTTAGATAGATCCTCTCTAAACTGGGGCACCTGGGTGGCTCAGGTCATGATCCTGGAGTCCTGGGATGGAGCCCCATGTTGGGCTCTCTGGTGAGTGGGGAGTCTGCTTCTTCTGCCTGCCCCCCACCCCACTTCATGCTCACACTCTCTCTCAAATAAATGAACTCTTAGGAGAAAAAGAAAAAAAAAAATCCTCTCTAAATGACCTTGTCTTACTAGCATCCATAGCAATGCAATGGAGTTGCCCAGACTCATGCCTCATGGTTTTGTTTTGTTTTTTTAATATTCAAATATAATAATGTTTGCATTTATTTAGAATAGTTTCCCCCATT